GCTATACGGGTACGTGCCGCCAAACAGGGTACGGTTTTCAGCGATTTTACTCTGGAACAGGGTTTATAAAATCGCTCTCGCTCTGAGACAGGGTATATGAAATCACACTCTCTCCTCCCTGGAACAGGGTATCTATTTTCACACTACCGGAAAAGGGAATGGTTTTCAGCGATTTTACTCTGGAACAGGGTCAGGGTTCAGAGGGCTCAGCGGCACATCCCTACCCTAAACGGGCAAGAGTACCCCCCGGGTTTTGAATAAACTTGGAATATTGCTTACTTAGCTGGAAGTGAGAGCTCAAGCCAGTAGAGATTAGCCAATCGTGTTTCTTCTTCAATAGTTCTTTGAATAGCTTTGTGCCATTTTTGAACTTTATCATTATCAAGTATCTAGGGCCAAGAAAATATATTGGTTTAGCATTTACATGAATGGGACGAGAAAATAGAGAACTAACTATTTGTAGGAGTGAAAAGTCTGCCATTCTTAAACACTGAACAATTATTGGATGGCACTTATCGTAATATCATCATCCTCATAATAAGGGGCATTACTTGGCAGCCATGTTTATTCTCATGAGAGTTAAAATCTTTTTTAAGCAGCAAAATGTTTTTTTACAAGCACTTGACTGAATGCGATGGGGCTATGCGTGGTGGCATCTATTGTTCCATTAACATAGATACCACGTGAGAAAGGCCCATAAGTTGTAGATATCTGATGAGGAAAGGCTTTGGACAGTTAATTATGTTTATATATATTCTCCCCAATTATTTTGATTATTCCCTGAAATACTCAAGTCAGCAGGTATGTTTGAATCTTAGTCACATCTGGCCTCTGATTGGCTGTTAACACAGTCTATCTTTCATAGCATTTGAACCTGACATAATAAATGTTAAGGGTTTATGCGCGTGGTGCGATGAAGATAATGATGATGATGATGATAATAATAATAATAAACCGTTTGCAGAAACATGCCAAGTCTCAAAGGCAAAATAGAAGTGTAAATGTTATGGTAGGTCGGATGTTATTTCCTCCCATCTTCAGATGCGCGTGAACAATGCCCATGAACGACCTTAAGATTTCATTTCAGTAGGCTCCACTGGAATGTGTTGACAATAAAGAGGTGATCAAAATGGTGATCAAAATGCTTGGATGCATGCCTATTCGGGCCAGGCATGCAACATCTAATGCCAGACTTTACTTACTCACCTGATATGTTCTTCTTAAAGTGGCAACTAGACCAGCAATCTGACCAATAATAGCAAGATCGTGTTGAAGGTCAGCAAAATGCTCTTGACAGCCTGTTTGTTGACGATATTGCCCTAGAAAAAGAAATACCAATTATGATCCATCGAAAGTGCAACAAATGTTTTCATTTCAGTCATCCACAACATACAGTAAAACAGCAGGCTAGCTGTCAACCCGGGATAAGGGGGTGGGGGGGGGACTCTGGGAAAAAAGTACCGGGGATGCTCGTCAGAAATTTTTAAAAAGACCCCTAAAAGATACCGTAAGTCTTAAAAAAGGGCGTGGCTGAATGAATTTTAACCCCTAAGAGATACCACAACAAACAATATTTACACTAGGCATCTGGCCTATAAAAAGCGCCTGATAGGATAAGCCATATTGATATGCGCTTCTCTCCTTTTCTGACACCGTAAGAGATACCAGAAAATGCTGATTTTCAAAAATTCGCATTTAACACCCTAAAAGATACCACATTTACCCCTAAGAGATACGACAAGCATCCCCGGTACTTTTTTCCCGGAGTCCCCCCCCCCCCCCCCCCCCCCGGGGGCTGTCAAAAGACAAAATGCAAGCCAAATCAAAATAATGACATTAATATTGCCAAAGAGTGCCAAATGGAAAAGAAAGCCACAGGTGAAATTCAAATTCAATCTGCAATACTCTAATAAGGCAATCAGTATTAATTAATATTAGTGAAAAACATACAACCATGTTCAGGACATAATAAACTGGGCCTGTGAAGCATAGTTAACATTTGGAGTGGGGGAGGGGGGGGGGGGGGTTAATCTGGGGGGTTAGAGAGAACGGATGCCTTCACCCTCCTGAAAATGTTGAAATTGAGGCTCTCGAAATTGCGATTTGCAGTGCTGCAATTTTGAGAGGCAAATGCAACATATTTACAGCATTACAGTCAGGTTAAAGTTTTTGCCAACTTATATTAGCATTGATTAAGCTAGACTGGGTGTAGCCCTAATTTGATAAGTCAAATAAATTACCTCCTTTGGCTTGAGTAACAGTTGTTTTCTGAGGGGTAGCATAAATAGAGATTCCAGGACCATACTCAATAACCTCAACATCACTTAATGGTACATTCCATTTCAGTTTATACTTGGCTCTGACATCAGTGATCAAGTTAGCCACCCTGTCCTTTTTCCTAAATAACAGTATTCCTTGGTAAAAATCATATTTAACAAACCCAGCATATTTTTATTTTATGATATAGAGTGCAGTCATTATACAGTCATAATTATTTTCCCCATTATACATTTTTTGGGACATACAATTCCAATATGGTGTCTATCTCATTCCCTAAAACACCACAGTGCACTGCAACGTCAACTCGACCCAGTTTTTCCTCAACATTGGAATGGTTAGGTAACACAACTACTGGCATTGAAATCTTGGACATTTGAAGCCATTCTATTAAATTATCTGTCAATAAATGTTATTTAAAAATGTTGTCTTGGCTTTGACGTCATAAAACTATAGAACTGCTAGCGTTATTAACATACCCTTTGATAGGAGAAATACACAACAACATGTCAGAAAGCATGATCAGCCTTCGTCGCTTTGTTCGCACAATGGTGTCATCCTCAATTACCTATGAAAATTGATTATCAAACAGAGGGAATATTTCAACAAAGAAATTGAAACAATTTTTTTTTGCTATGTTTGTATTACAGTCTGATACAGGGCAAAATTACTTGATGCTGAAAGGCTAATGAAGGAGGGCTTTTTTCTATAATTCAAGGCCGAATCACTAGAAAATGAAACCTTGAAATATTATAATCCAAAGTTTGATAGAAGAGAGCACATGTAACGAAGAAACAGGTAAAATTCTTTTGAACCATAACTACATTTGATTTAATAGTTCAGGATGATTTACAATGCGAGCYAGATTGTATTGGTTCCTTAAAGATGTTTTTCTGTTGAATTTTGCCAAGGCTTCATGACTTGGACAATATCAAAGCACTTGTGAAATCAATCCTTAATTTTACTGGGCCCCATATGATTACATCTACTGATCTAAATCAACAAGAGTACTACTTACACACTGAACAAAGTCATCTTGTCTGATAAAATATCGATTACCACTGGACAATGGCTGTAAAAAATAAATAAACACCCAATCATGTCAGATTGCAAGTCATTTCCTAACTAGAGCATTAATCTACTGCTGTACACTTGACTGAAAACAGTAAGAAAAAAATAAACCATAGTTCCAGAAAAGGGGATCAATGTTTATAAATGAATATACAAACCTTGCCAATGTGTGCAATACTGGCGTCCAAAAGCTTAACCTTCAGTCTTAAGTCTGCCTCTCTCTTTCTCTCACTCAAGTTGTCAGCAAGATACTCTAATTGAGTCAAAGCCATTTGTAGAGGGATCCGATCAGGATGTTCTACTGGAGTTACCTTGAGCAGTTCCTGAAAAATGTTATAAAAAATGTATTAATTAATATGATTTAACCAAAAAATGTTAAAAAATATAAAGCTTTTATCATTGATTTGTTAACAAATATATTAATATGATTTAACCAAAAAAATTTAAAAATTGTAAAGAATTTATCATTTGTTAACAAATACTTAACATGCCATAAATGGTCAAAGTTATGCAAGTTGTATATTATTTTGTTTACTAAGGCCCCATCCACACGTATCAGGAAATTTTTGTATCCGCAAATTATTTTTTGCGGATATGAAAATGTTTGCATCCACACGCAACGTAATCGAATCGTTTTCACCGTCCACACGTATCCGTTTTCGTAAAATTTGCGGATACGGACACAAAAATTCGCGGACACATGCGTATGCAACCCGTATCCGCAAAAAAAATTTGCAAATACAAAAATTTCTGGATACCTGTGGACAAGGCCTAAAAATTGAATGACATGCTACATTGTTATAACAAGATCTATTCTAACATGTCTTTGTCTCTATTAATCACTTCTTGTTAACTAACCTGCACAAGATCAATAAACTGAGGAAACCTTTTAGTTGGCTTCAACATTAAACTGTGTAATGTTGTACGTTCTCTACAAGCTTGTCGTCTTGCCTATGAGAGAATTGAGGAAAGTATGGTAGTAAGCTTTAACCTGTAGAAACGTCAGAAGGACTTTTTAAGACTTGTGACTCTCACTCTGATTTTTTTTAACGAAACGTATTCAAATTTGTCAAACTTACTTATAGTGAGGTGCTGTCTCAGTAGGGGTGGATCCAGGGAGGGGCAAAGGAGGACTGTTGCCCCCCTCCCTCCTCAGCCATATATAGTTTTATTTGACCAAATTAATGGAACCGATTTACTTTTTCCAAGTTCATTTGCAAAATCCAGTCACTCTCCCCCCCCCCCCCCCCCCCCCCCCCCCCCAGGCTCAATATGTTTGGCTGGATCTGCCCCTGCTCAGATAACATGTTTTTGCTAATTGGATTAATATTCAAAACCGCTACCAAGTTCGCTCAAAAACTATTGGTGATAGCGTAGAATGGAACACTGTACCATCTAGTATTAGGCATATTACATCATTACCTTCTTTTAAAGAACACTTAAAGACATATTTTTATAGAAAAGCCTTTATTCAGTTGTTTTTGCAATTCCCATTGATTAACTTAGCTTTTATGTTTCTAGTTATTGTGTATTGTTTCTGTATTCAGCGCAGATGAACATCTTGTGCTAATCTGCGCTTTATAAATGTAATTTATTATTATTATAGCGTTGGTCTGTTATGCGGGAGGTCTTAGTTCAATTCAAGCCTTGGCCGAATTAACAYTTGGGATCTTAAAATAACTTAGGAGAAGGTGCTACCTTCGTAATTATATGTAATTACATGCAAATGGTTGAAACTTCAAGTTGCTCCGATGACCACTTAAAATAAGGGTCTCATCTCTCCACACTTCACCATTGCTAACCAATACCGGAGGGATGTTAAAGAACCACGACTGAGGAAGTAAAAAACCCTGGCATTGACCAACCTTGCCTAAAGGCTCTCCAAAATACTCAGTGACTCATAAAAATACACAGCCGTGTCACATGCTTAGCCGAATGATAACCTCTATTTATCATTATCATCATAAAGCTAGTCCCAGTCCTTTGATGTTTTCTAAAATGGTATATTGCAATGCTATTTTCCATCCATTTTAAATATCATTCAATCAATCAATCAATGTTTGTTACCTTTAATAGCTGTGCAAAAGCAAGATGTGTTTTGCAAGCTGACTTTATGGTGTTCATTGCTTTAGCAAAATTGTTAACATACTCACAGTATGCCTCTAGAACCATTGACTTGCAGAACTAAAAGAAAAAGCATTCAATACTTTATCATCTGATACATTGTAATGTCATGTTTGATAGCATCATTCATACTAGATACAGTATAAGTAAATGATGACCAAATTAGTTTTAGCTTGGTCATATATACAGTACCTCACTTCTGTCTTAATGTTACTAGTCAAAATGAAGCAGAAAAGAAAAGATTGACAGGACAAGTTCCTATTCTGGCCAAACATTGTCCAATGACAATGTATGCAGTCTGTGATAAGCTGAAGAATTCAGGGAAGGAACGTTTCTTATTGGGGGAAGTGTTGAGGGATTCCCAAGTTTACTCAGTAAGAAATTCCTGATTCTCTTATTATTAATAAATCAATAAGGAAACAGCTTTCATGGAAATAAAAATGACGACCCTCCCCTCTGAAACTCCAAGTTCCCCCAAAAGAAAAAAAAGGAACATAATATCTGATTTAAAACAATGAAAAATAAATTTTTTTGTATTTTGTATTTTGTATTTTGTATTTATTAGCTTTCCCATTAGGGCAGGGAGACCACAACAGCTTTTTGCCAATCACAGTGGGCGCTGTAGAGCTTAATACGGGCACCAAAGATGGTTGCACCAGCATCTTCAGTTAGTTGTTCTTTTACGTCCGCCTTTACAGGGTTATACAGTGAAGACAGACGGGGCCTACAGTTTTAAGTCCTTGTCCAAGAAGTCTTATACTTAAAATCTGCTTCTTCATAGCATTTATACAATACTTTATCTATTTTTGACTTGGTAATAGCAGTGAGTCATGTTTACACAATATACTAAGTATATACTTACCAATGCATACAAGATATCACCTATTTTTTCTTCAGTGTTCCATTCATTCATTCTTGCAGACAGAGCAATGTTAAACATAACATGACATTCCAACACTTTGTGGATTCCTTGGAATATTATGTCAATCTTGGAGGATTCCAACAAGTCCCTTTCTCTTATTGGTAACTCATATTTCTAGAGAGGAATCATAAAACATATAGATTTCACAATAATGGGGATTGCTTTTGACATAGCCTAACATGGCCAACTCTGACCCTAAGTAAAATGTATTACTGGTTTTAAAAACTAAATGTTTTTGACTTTTTAAATTTATACATGTACATATCATTTACCTGTTAAAAGCAGGAACACACAAGGAATACATGTGTCAGAGGTTTTAAATGCACAGTACCAAAAGGACTAACAGCCTCAGTCCACTTTCAAGACTGAGGGCAGTTTTTTTCCTTTACAGACCAAGTTTAGGCCAGAAAAATAACCTTTTTTCTCCCATTTGAAATTAGGTTAAAAAAGTGAGTTATCCACAATTGTTTTGGTTTCGAAAACCAACACTTTTCACTACAAGTGATCTATCACTAATAGACCACTGGTAGCTCAGCCAGTCACAGCGTGGGATTTGTGTTAAATCATTAGTACATTTCTACTAGTACCTTAATCAGACTGTCCATCAGCTTCATGTAGTCTGCTTCACTTTCCAGAATAAATTTTACAATCTGATATCTTTTAATCTGTACTGAGGTTAATCCTGATGGCATAACAGGCATGACAGGCTGCTGGTAGTTTTCTGTGTCTGCAATGTTGGGGTCAACATAGTCTGACTCTTCTTCTTTTTCTTCTTCTGCAAACCAAATTCAAGGACTGAAACTTATATATTCAGCAAAAAAAAATTGAATACAAGAAAAAAAACTTATTCAAACTATCATATACAAAAAGGATTCAAGAATAGTCATCACAATAATTTTTTTTACCAATCATCATAACCATCACTGAGAAAATCAAATTAGTCCCTAACTGCAATCATTTTTTAAGGTAACTAGTCGTGACGCCCCCTTGTACTGATGCCCCTCTCCATGATGCCCCCAGCGTATACCATGACGCCCCTAGTCTGTACTACCATGACACCCCCTAGTATAAACCATGATGCCCCTGATCTCTCAGACTAGGGGTGTCATGGTACACACTGGGGGCGTCATGGATGGGGACGTCATGACAAGGGGGAGTCATGACCATAACTCTTTTTAATGCACTTCTACATTGTCAAATTAAGTCTTGATTATAATACCAGTAAATTAAAATATTTAAGTAGTTTATTAACAAAACACTCTAAGACTCTTCTCTAAACTTGCATTACGAGAGTCTAGTAATGCAAACAATATATTGGGAAAAAAATTAGCAATTTTCTAGAAATGGGTGGTTACAGAAAACAAGCTTATCCCAAGGGTCCTTTCAGTCAAATCATGGCTGTGGTCGGGGAAAAGATGCTGTTGTTGACTGAACTGTCTCAAACAATGATTGGTTTGTTAAAGATGAAATATAATCATTCTTGCAAGCTTTCCTATTGGTTTATTATCTATTGACATTTAATTAACATGTATTAGAGACGGCATTCAATTTATACAAAACAAACAACATTTTCACATTGATATTTGTTTTGGTATTTTTTGGTCCATTTGGAATACTAGCAATACTACATACATGTAAGTGTATTATTTGTGGAATGATGAATAATGTATTTATTAAAGTGGCTTATGGAATATTTAGATCTAGTGACTCTGTGGCTCATTGTTCGGCACGTTATTTGTAGAACAATGAATAATATATGGCCCGAAGACTCAAAAGTTACTTGAAAAGCTTGTATTTAATTTGAATACAAAGCTGACAAGCCAGTGGCTTGCAATATATGTTTTCTAAAGTCTAGCCCCGATTTATTTACTAATTATAATCAAATATAAACATTAAACATGTAATCTCAGTTCTGATGACAAACCAATCTTATCACATTGATATATAGTTACAATATATCCTCTACATGGCAAAAGTACTTTGTGGCCTCAAGTATTAGATTTTTTGTTCTCAAAACTCCAATAGATTAAAGTATCAGGAGAGGATTGGGTTCCCTATAAACCATGTCTTAAGGTGCTAGACCTTTAATACAGATTTTACAGTATGTTGCCATAAAAGTATACTGTAAATTGTCTGAAAGCTAATTAAACATAGTTTTCAAAAATCTATTTAAATTTTTCTTTTTTTTTTTAACAAAAAAAGCTTTTGGGTTTATCCAAAATTTTTGAGTGACAAAAAATAGCTTCTTTCTTAAGCTCATTCAGATTCTCATTGAATTGAATTGAAACTTTGGATACTAATAAATCTAAAACAATGTCTTGGATTTCTAAATGTTTTTTCTTATTCAAAAGATTTTGTCAATTTTGCAATCACAACCATCGAAAACTAAAAATCCAGATTTAATGTGTGTCATTGCCCTTGTTTTAAAAAAGATATCAAATATCTGAGACACCGTTTTGAGATTCTTATCACATGATTCCAGCCAACATCAGGGTCTCCTCCCCAACAACCACCATATATTGAATTGGAGTCAGCAAAAATACCCTGAGGATAAGGTTGCACTAAGCATTGAACCTTACCACAGACAGTAAAAGGACAAAGACAGCATGAATAAAGACCGGAAATGATTACAACACATCTCCTTACCTTGGCCCGTATTTTTGGATCCATCATCCGCCAGGTATGGTAAACTAGCTGCTTTACTTATTCCAAAACAGCCTTTAAATCCCTTGAGACCTGGGATACTTAAGTTGACCTTTTTTGTGTGAAAAGGACTAACTGTCTTTTGATTGAGCTGGAAAAAAAAGCAGGTTTAAAAATGATGAATTTAAAATGTGTAAAAGCAATTAGTCAAGAGCATGGTAGTACATGTAATATAATGTAACAATAAGTCATCAGTTTAAAATCCTTGCATTACTCTTGAAATCATCATTGCATGTACATGATCAGAAGTGGTGGTGGGGGGAGGGGGGGATATGAAAAATACAGAAACTGTTTTTTTACAAACATTTGATCATGATATAAAAAGACTGGGCACGTTTAGAAAACTAAAACAGCAAACACAAAAAAAAAAGTTAACAAAAAACAGTAAAATGTCCTATATCATTGGTAAGCATCCATGTTATCATGTGAATAAATGTATTGGTTTATGAAGTGATTATTGGTGATTATAATAGGAAATTATGACACACCCGATTTCCTGTGTATTAAATGACCATTCTTTTAGATTAATTACAGAGTGATAATACATGGTCAGGCGTAGGAATCCAAAAACATTAATGTCCGCTTTCAGATGTAAAATTATTCGACTGTATTACTACCCAACTAGCAGTGTAATAACCTCTGAGGGGAACACTTGTTTTAGACTTTTATAATTCTATACTTGAATATCAGAGAAAAGATGAAATTTAGGACAACAAAAGTATTATTTTCGCATGAAAAAACTTTGAAAAACCCATAATCACTGCTCAAGCAGTAATTGTTGTCTAAGAACCTCTGGTCGCTCCACCAATCACAGCAAGCAAAACTCTATTATTCAAGTGTAAAATTATACCAGATCAAGAAACAGATAAACCCCTTCTGGCTCACTGCAATATTGGTTGTTAATATCCTTGGATAAGAAATGGTGCTCAAAATATCACATATGCCCTCTAAGCTTTGCTTCTTGGCCAACTGTTTATTTTCAGACCATTTCTCACCCTCAGACATTGTCAGTCGATATTCCAGCTGCCCAGCAGAAGGGGCTTAATTACTAAATATATATCTATTTTAAACCTCCCTGACCCATCCCCCTATGTAAGAGGTATAAAAAAATATTCATAGCTACTCTAACTGACAGATAAACTTTATCTACTTTCTATGAATCTTTTAAATTAATAAACTTTAAGCAATCCCTTTCACTCACTTGTCCTTTTCTAGGTGTTTGCCTGCTCTTTGAGTAAAAGACTGAAGAAGTATTCCTCCTTTCTTCATATTCTTCATAGCCTGACCCTGAATCATCATCTTCATCATTGTCATCAAGTTTAATCTTATCAATTTCTTGGTCATTGATATCTTCAAAATCATCATCTTCATCATCAAAATCAGAGCCCCATGGGTCGTTATCAGAAATATCATCATCATCATTAACTGGCATCATGTAGTTTTCTTTAAAAAAGAAAGTCAAATACATGAACAATTAAAAGTACAGTAGATATACAACATGTTTGAGTCTAGAGGGATGGGTAACATTCAAATGTGACCACTAATAAATGAACAATTTTGAAATATGACTAGACTAAGTGGTCTCTATAACACGCCGGGCACAAATGACACCAAAAAGTTTCAAAATTACAAGTCAGAAATTTATTAAACTTGGGAAGAACATTAGGGTTTATCAAACCCATTAAAATATATACTTGTTAGTGTTAATGTTATGACTACAGTATGACATATCATATTGACATCATAATATCATTTCATAATATAGTTTTTATATATTAATTTCATAATTGTTTTTATATAATGTGAGCCTGATTCATTCTTTGTAAAATATGTGTTTTTTAACGCTTCTCAAATAGCTTACACAGATTTGAAAACCATATCCCAATTATTGGACAAAGCAGTCAAAATTTATTGAATTTTTAAATTCCATAATTTTCCAGCCAAAAAAAATGTCAGGAAAAAAAGAATTGAAAGTGAAAAGCATTGATCAAAAAACTATACATATAATAATAATAATAATAATAATAATAATAATAATAATAATAATAATAATAATAATAATAATAATATTGAAAACTTTATTGAGTTTTTCCCAACTACAATCGTAAATCTCGCTACTTATAGGTAATTTACAATTGGCTACTTGAATCGAATACAAAATGTGACAAATGACAAATAATAATAATAATAAACTAATAATTAACTATAATATGAGATGTGATAAGAATATAATAATAATTATTTTAAATAAACCTTAATAGTCTATGCAAGTCTTAATAGAAATAGAAATACACTCGTAAATCTAGCTACGTATAGGTAATTTACAATTGGCTACTTGAATCGAATACAAAATGTGACAAATGACAAAAAGAAAAAGAAAAAGAAAATGAAGACTATCAATGCTACATTAACTCAGGACTCTTCCATTCTTTGTCCTGCAGCAGAAAATATAATATGATGATCTAAA